AATGTGCATTCACCTGCTTACAAGACCAGAGAGAGCCATTGCTCCATTTGGAAATACTGGTCCAACCAGGTGAACCAGACCGCGCGGCCATTGCCCTTGAGTGAAAGGGACAGGGATCCAGTGCCTTTGCTGAGGGGCTCAGCAGGTGGCTACGCAGAGCACACACCACGGTTTCCATGGGGATCTTTGCCTACATAGCTGATGTCTGGAGCGCACATTTAACACCTGTCTGTGGGTTCCTGAGTGGTGACACAGCAGCGGTGCAGAGGAGCGGGAACATCTGACTTGAATTCGAATCCCATCTCAACCCCTTTGAGGCTGTGTCCTTTGAGGCAGGTCTCTTCATTGTTGTGCCTCAGTTCCCCATAAGTGAAATAGAATAATAGTAATTCCCACCACTGGGGCAGATGCAAGGTTAAGATCAAAGAACGTCCCAGACAGGGCCCAACACACACTTGGTTCTCTGATCAGGTTTCTTTCTAACTTCCCACTGAGTGCTCTCCTCCCGCCGCCTCCTGTCTCTAGAGGGGTTACTAAGTCAGATTACCATGCCAGGGGCACGGGGACATTTCTGGCACCACCTGGACCATCGCCTCCACCCTGACGACAACAGGGAGGTGTCACTGCCTTCCTGAGATGTGGTTGGTAAGAAGCTGTTCCATCACCACAAACACAAACCGTTCTTGTTTCCAGTCCAACATTACACAAACGGCAAAGCATTTGGGGAGGGTTGTTTATTTAGCAAACAGTGATATCTTTTTAACCATTCACAGGGAAAAGAAAATGGTATGCCACTGAGGAATCTCAGAAATTCCCTGCTGGGCCAAAAAAGTGAGTATAACGTGAAATGATTTGATTAGGAGTTTGGAAAATATAGTATTTCCTTTCTGGGTTAATAGCTGGCTTAGGGCTTGCTGTGGTGTGTGTGTGTGTGTGTGTGTGTGTGTGTGCGTGTGCACGCGTGTGTGCACGCGCGCTTGCATGTACATGTAATCACACGTTTCTGGGGGTAGAACTGAAATGTTTCAAAAGAAGGCTGGACCCCAGGAAGGCTACCTCTCTTGCCATAAGGTAGCTGAGATGCTATCTTACCTACCTTGAACATGGCAAAATCAAAGATGGGACAAGGGTTACTACTCCTGGGAGGATACCATGCCCTGCAGGTTCGTTCCCCAGGTTACAGCTAATGGGTGGAGCTTCCTCATACTTCCCTTCCCCCACACACACAGTATGGGGCCCACAAAGAGCTAGGGGCCTCTCTGGGTTTCTGCAGATGTGTTTTTTGTGCAGTGTTTTCCCTCTCATTCATCTACTCATTTAATATTCAGTAAGTATCTCCTTGTGCCCAGCACTTCGAACCACAGATGAGAAAATCACTGTCCAGACAGGGGAAGGGTCACCACTTCTTAGGGCAGAGACAGAGATTCTAGAAGGTAAATATCCAGGACAGGGTACTCACTGGATGGAGGATCCCTGAGCCTCCTGGTCCAAGAAGCCTCAGTTTCCCAGTCTATGAAAGGAACTGGTTGGACCTGAGCTCTAGATTAAGTTTCAAATATGGGGCATGTGGTTGCTAGCCTGAAGTTCTGCCCCTCCCCAAATGCCCTTGGGTAAATCATGTCTGGGCCTCAGTATTTTGGGACAGTGCCAGTCACAGTGACCATGACATGGACCAGTGCACTTGCTCAGGAGCTGAGTAGGTGCCTGGCACATAGATTTCCAGCACTTGTGCCCCACCGTTTGAGCCAAAAAGGACCCTGGCTAAGTCAAGTGAAGCATAAGTCCCGTGTGCCATTGCTTAGCTCTGACTAGGGTCAGCACCTCTGGTCCCCAGACCCAAGACCTCTGCTCTGGTGTCAGTGACCCAGCACAGAGGCTGCTAGCAATTTGCTGTCTCAGCCGGCTGCTGACTCCTGACAGCTCCCTGGGACAGGGCTGCTGCCTCCAGCTGTTGGCCCTGCCCTCCCTGCATGCACGCATTGAAAGTTAACGGCCAAACCGGGCCTCAGGGGACCAAGTGCCAGGCGGTGGTGCAAAGCAGGCTGCATGGGGACTGTAGGAAAGAGAATGAGAAGCCCATAAACTTCTCCCGGGCTATTATTCAGGGAGAAAAATAGTGATTGGAAGCAGAGAATTCTGCATAATCATAAAACTCCCCCTCCAATAGAAAGTGCTGGGTCCCAAGCTGGGCCAAAAGCCTTGCTCCACTGCTAACGCAGTGCTCCTACCTTCCTGGGAAATGGTTCCCTGATGGTTTCTCGGATGAAGAAACAGGTTCAGAGAGCAGCAGTGACTTGTCTGGGATCACACAACCAGGAGGTGATAAGAGTGCCCACTGTGTTCCAGACCCATGCTGTTCACCAGAGGACATCTTGTTAAGGCATCTAAACTAGCTGGTCTTGGATTCCTCATCCACCAAATAGGCAGAAGGGTGCCACCGTTGTGGAACAGCTTTTGAGGACCTAGTTGGGATTCATGCTGAGTGCCTGGGACAGGAAAGGCAAGTAGTAAAGGGTTCAGATCTCTACCGGCTGCAGTTATTATTGTTTCTCTACCTTCTGGATATTTTGGCTGTTCAATAAGGAAAACAACCTAGAATCCACGCAAGTAGGAAAGGTTTATGCCAGCCAGGGCACTGGACATCCCCAGATCCAGTGCTGACAGGGACAGGCTTCTCATCCATGCTCACCCTGGGCACATACTGCCAGGCCCCCAACAGATCTGGGCCTGCCCCACTCCGATTTTGGAGAGGGGCAGCTGCCCAGGCCCCAGACACTTTGTGGGAAATAGCAGGGGGATAGTGTGGTGAGGGAGGCCTCCTGGATTCAGAGATTCTGCCCTCACCTGAAGGTCCTCCTTTGAACCTGTGTCACACAGAAAGCTGGACTCTACAAACTGGTACTGGCAGCAGTGATTACAGGTTATGTGGCTATTGCGCTCAGTTTTATTTAATCGCTCTTGGGTGTGTCATCGTGCCCCCCCAACTTGTTGGGGTAATGAAAATTGCACCTGGATCCTTTACACTAAGCTACATCACCAGCCCTTTTTAAATTTTTTATTCTAAGATGGTATCTTGCTGCTAAGTTCCCTGGGGTGAACTTGTGATCCTCCTGCCCTAGCCTCCCAGAGTGCTGGGATTACAGGTGTGCACCACCATGCCTGGCTCCTGTCCATCTTAAAGGTGAGAAAACTGAAGGAAGTTACCTGACCTATCCCACTGCGCACTTTGAACCTGCACTTGTCTGACACTGGGCACCTGTTCTAACCCTCTGACTTCCTGACCTCTCTGGGCTTTGAAGAAGCTCTTTTCCTTAAGAATAAGAATCCATGTCTCTGAGCACTTGTGGCCAGCTCTCAGGGAGGACAACTATCTCACAGGCATCTAGACAGAGGGCAGAAATAGATTCACGGGATACTTTCAGCACTTGCTGGGATCCAGCATTTTTATAGGTAATATCTCATTTAATCCTCAAGCACTAACTTTGATTATTGCTACTGCATAAACCAATGAGAGTTCAGAGAGGAAATTGCATGGGATCACAGAATTAGCAAGTGGCAAAGCCAGAAACTATTATATGGTTGTCATAGCAACTCCATGCAATGGGTACAGCTTGTACTCCCATTTTACATGATAAAAACTGAGGCTCTTTGAGCTTCCACACAGCTGGAGAGGCTGGGATTATAACAGATTCCAAAGAGCCCAGGCTGATAACCTTTATACTGCCCCATCCTATTGTTAGTTAAGCTGTGTTAGTACTGGAAGGAAGCCCAGATGACCTTGGTTATGTGATGGTGGGAAAAGCCCCTTCACTTCTCTGAGCCTCAGTTTCCCCACCTGTACAATAGAGCTCAGCAGAGCAGCTTAAGGTGAGTAATAGAGCACATGCTGCTGCACCCGGGCCCAGCTCTGTGAGCCCCAGGCTGTCTGCACATACCCACTTGGCCTCCTTTCCGACCTCAGAAAGCAGCCTTCCTCTAATTGGGGCCTGCACACTGCCCTGGCAGGCATTGCTGGGAGCAGCAGTGTCCTAGAGGGCCAGACAGCCTGTGGGTAAACAGGGTTGATCTGAGGTGACAGCCTGCTTTTCCCAGACCAACCCTGCTTGCTCGTCTCCCGATTCCTTAACGTGGGCTGGGCCCCTCAACCCAGACGTGGCACTTACATTGGAGGTTGGGGCCCTGGAAACCAGGTCAGGCCTTCTTGGGCTCAAGGAAAAAAGACAAGGATGGGACTCCAAGCCCTTCCTTTTCCTCCTCCCTCCCAGTGGCTATATCCTCAGAGAAGCCTCATCTCTCCCAGCATCAGTTTCCCCATCTGTAAAAGAATGAGGCTGGACTACTTGAGCCCATAGGGCCTATTCCAGCTCTGAGATTTGAAGACAAAAAGGGAAGGGCTCTGAAGATTCCTCCCAGCCCCTCATGTGAACCTTGCCACATTCTGATTCAAGAAATAATTTATTTTCAATTAGGAAAATATTTTATCTAATTGACTCGTAGGAGACCTAGAAGAGACTTTATGATCATTTAATTCAACAGCATCATTTACATGGTTAGGAAATGAGGCCCAGAGAGGTAAAGGACGCGCTGAAAGTCACACAGTTAGGCTAACAACCCAGTTCTGGCTCACAGCTTTCCAATAGGAAAGATGGAAGGCAATTTCCCTCCAAAGAGCTTTTCTGTTTGGGGGCAAGTGGGGTTGGAGAGTGTTTCCTAGAGCCCTTGCTAGAGCCACTAGATAGGAAATGATAATAGCTGCTGTTGTCACCAAACAGACTAACTCCAGAGGGAACCTCTTTTGGAAGGGACAGAAAAATGCGGGCATTTAGTGGTTACACTGTGCCAGGCCCACAAGCCCAGACATCCTCAGAGAAAACCAACTCTGAAATCAAGACCTTCTAGTTCTGCAAAAAATCACAGAAGTGAAGTAATAGCTTCAGAAACCACAAATAGCACATAAACACTTTAAGCAATTAAAAATACATTGTTGTTGCAACCCTCACCTGTATTCCTGTGGAGCTGGGTAGTGATTTGGCCCTGAGTTTCGAACAATTCCTGACATTATGGATGAGATGTCACTTTCTATCATCTCCTTGGGGAAAAGACAAGCAGAAAACAAAGCTTTCATCAGCCACAATGTGGACAGGACAGAAACCCCCAGTTTTCCCACAGCTCAGAAGGAGGGAGCTCAACTAACAGAACAGAGTTCCTGGGCATCACAGGTCACAATGCTAGGCAGTTCTACAGGGTGTTAGAAGCAAATGAAAAAAGAATGGAATGAAATTCCAGGTTCTTTCATATTAATGGGGGGAAGGACAGAGGGAAGTCTCTAGAACCCAAATGTCAAGATTTAGAAAATGTGCCCTTGAAACAAGGAACCAGATGAATTTTATTCCCTTTTCAACTCCACCTATGAGCACTTTGAAAATCCTATAAAAAGAATGAAAAAGGAAGCTTGTGTCATCTGTTTCTCAGGGGAAGCCAGATTCCCACTTGCAACGGGAATAAGTCTCTCATGACTCTTGCCCTGGAAATGCCCTCAGAAATGCCATTTGTCCTTGCTGGCAAACCAGTCCCCCATAACTACTACCACCCACCCTACTACCTCCACACACACCAACAGCCTTTAAAAAAAAAAAAAAAATCTAACTCCCCAAGTTTTTGAAACTCCAAGCCTGAAAAGAACACAGAAATCCACCAGCCTCTTATCATTTTCGTCCCCAGCGTCATTGGGGGAATTTCTGGAAGGAGAAAAAGGGGTTCAGAGGGAGACGCCCCCGCAGCCCTACACTGCGGTCTCTACCCTGGAAATGCAATCAGGGCGCTGCCCGGGAGGAGAGCGCAAAGCCGAGGCTGCAAGGCGGTACCTGGAGCTGATCTCGCGGGGCTGCCTAGGCCGGTGCTCCGGGGGCGGGCGGGGGTTCCGGAGGGGGCTCCCTCGCGCTCGCCCCTAGCGTTCCACAATTTGGCCGCCGTCTCTGCTCCAACCGTTTTTAAATTTCCCTCTCTGGAGCTGTCCAGCTCAGAGCATGCGCAGTAGTCGTGCGGGGGGCTTTTCCCCAAGGGTCAGTGACAGGGCAGGGTCAAGGGGATCGCAGCGGGCGTTTCCCGGCAGCAACGAGCCTTGCACGCTCCGGGACACCCCTCTTCCAACTTTGCCGACCGTGGCAGCTACGGCGTGCCCGCGAGCGTGCGTTCAGGAGCAGGGGGAGGGTGATGTGGGCCAGAGGAATTAAGTCGCAGGAGGACGCTGGGTGCATTAACACTTGCACTCGGTCCCTGTCCCGGGGGTCCAGGAGGGGGGCGGGTCGAGCGACCCGTGAGGCCTCGTCTCTCCCCCAAAGGATTCGGACCTGGAAGAGTCTGGGCCCCAGGTGGCTGCGGACCCGAGCCACCGGTCCCTTTAAGAAAGTTGTGCCCGCGCGGCGGAAGGGGACTGCGGGGCGGGAAGCGCTCTCGCCCGGCGCTTCAACCTGCAGGGCCGCGAGGGTCGCCCGGGT